TCCGGGTTGAGATCTCTGTGTCAAGTTTCATCCCCTCCTGACACGTCTGGCTCCGTGCCAAAGTCCTGAAAATGGAAAATTGGGGAAGGGCGGGCTGTGAGGGGTGGGTGGAGGAGCAGGGGGGGTGGGGGAGCGGGCCGGAGCTCTCGGCGGAGCGGCAGTAGCGAGAGGCTCTGGCCAAGAGGGATGCATGAACGAGCCCGTGTGAGCGGAGCGCGGCGGCATCTTCCGCCATCCATTCCGCCGCCCAGGCGCGTGGAAAGCCGCCGGCCGCTGCCATTGTTACCGGCGGGCGATGCGGGGACCGGAGCCGCCGCTCCGGCGAGAGATAAATAGCCCCTGACAGCGCCTCTTCGCACCCGCAGCTCGGCAGATTGGATTCGGTGGACGGCCGCAGGTCTGTGTCGCTCCCTTTCGCGGGAGTTCCTTTAAATCACGGCTCCACTCCCCCCTCACCTCTCCCGGGGGATGTTCCCGACCGTCCCCCACACAGCAGCCCTGCCGCCCTCCCCTGCTCGCTCCCCCTCCCGCAGCCGGCTGCGGCCCCGCTCGGCCCGGCGCGGAGCTCCGCCGGGGGAGGGGGAAAACTCCCTGGTGAAATACTTTCGGCACGCTGCGACTTTGCCAGGAGGGGTCTTGGCGTCGGATCTTTTGTCTTGGGGACTTCGGCTTCGTGCCCCGGAGTGGCTGGCGGCTCTCCCGGGAAGAGACTCTGGGCAAAGCGCCGGGGAGTCCCGGGCTGCCGCCGCGGCCAGCCGTGCCCCGCTGCCAGCGCCCGGCCGGCACTTCTGCAGGCTCGCCCGCCTCCCGGTTCCCCTTTCCCGCCGCAGGAACCGAGGGGCTGGGGCTGGGACCTGCCCTCCGCAGCCCCGTTCCCTCTCCCTGCAACGCCCACGGGTGGTGACCGTGGCAGTGTCCCCACGCGGGGGCTTGGGGGGACGTGTGTCCCTCGCCAGCCGCGGTGCCCCCTCCACCGGGCATCCCGGAAAGAGGAGCAGGGGACAACTCCGGGAGCCAAGGCGCTACTTTCCAGCTGCTGCCCTCCCCTTCGCCCTGCGGCCGGGAGCCTGCGCTCCGGAGCCCCTGGCACCCTGGGGCCGCCTTTCCCGGGGACACCGGGCAGTGCCACATCGTACGCGGGCGCCCGCGAGCGGCTCGGCGCCAGGCGAGCCCGCACTTTATTATTTTCCATCACCACTTTCCTCCCCCCCTTCCCCAGCCAGAGACCAGCCGGTGTGCGTGTGTGCAAGACGAGGTTATCGCCAGCTCGAGTCATTATTTCCAGGCCGACTGCCGCGGGAGAGTCTCTCCCAGGCGGAGCCGGTGTGGGCGGCCGGTACCCGGGGAGACAAAGGCCGGAGTCCGGGATGCGACCGGAGCCCTGCTGCGCCGACAAGTGCGGGCTCGGCCGGTGCCGGTGCGGGCCCCCCGCCAGCCGCGGGGCTCTGCCGGGACCGCGGGGCGCTGCCGCCGCCCCGGGGAGCGCGGAGTAGGGTTTTCCGAGTTACATTTGTTACATTTCCGAGTTATATTTTCAGTTATACGGAATCTACTTTTAGGCGATTGTTTTCCCTTTCCACTTGTTTGTCTCCTGCTAGCCTCGTAAACTGCCTCATGATTTATTACCTAGGCTAAGTGCTTAATTTGTGAATATGAAACAGATTAAAAGGAGATCGGCGTATTTTAGCAGTCAGGCCAGAGCAAAGCCCGGCAGCTGTTTCGAGTTTGTAGGCATCTCCAGCCTCGTGTAAGCAGCCCGGTCTGCTAGTGATCAAGGGGGTATCCCCGGGCTCTCTCCGAGAGGCCCGCCGCCGCTGGCTGCCCGCGCGTGCTGCTGCAGCGGAGACGCCACGGGATGGCCGCTGTGGGCTTTTTCGGGGGGGACAAACATACCACTGATGCCGTCCGTCAGAGAGAAACCCGTGGCTCTGGGCTTCAGCACCGGCTGCGTCCCCGCCACAGGCGGGCTCTGCCGGCGGAGGGCCCAGCAGGCACGCAGGGGGTTAACGACGGCTCTGCCCTCTCCTTCAAAGGACTCACTCGAGATAGAGTAAATACGGTCGGGGCGGGGGGGATGTGTGTGTGTGCCGCTCGGGCCACATGATGCAAAAGTAAGACAAGCACACTCCGGAGAACAAAGGCTTCCTACCCCCTTCCTCCCCCTCCCCCCCAAATCTGTCTTAATTCTGCAAGTAAACTTGAGCAGCTATAAAACAAAGGCGAACGATGAAAGTTATAGCCAAGGGACAATCAAAATAAATACCTTTGATGCAGTCCAAGCACGCACTTGGTATTTTCTGGAGCTCCCTGCTACCCCCAGGCAGCCAGGATATGGAAGGCTTTTCCTAGGACAGGGGTGACTCGCACGCCCGGGGTTTTGGCTCGGGCTGCTGCAAGCCACGTTCTTCAGCCCAGAAAACTGCCCGGGGCCAGCAGCACCCTGGGTGAGGCAGGCAGCGCAGGAAGGGGCCGTGCCGTCGGGGCTGGGGCAGGGGACGGCAGCAGCGGGACAGGGCTCCTCCGGGTGTTCCCCGGGCTAAGCTAGCGAGGCAGAGAGAGGTCCCGGTGAGACGTGCCCGGCTCCCCGAGGAGGATGTGCTCCACGGCGTGGGGCTGGGAGCGGTGTCAGAGCTGTGCCCCTGCCCCCCGGGAGCCCGACGGGAGCCGGCCAGGGCGGTTCGTGCCCCGGCTCGGTGATGGCCCCGGCCCCAGGTCACGCAAGTGACACCTCCCAGCCCGCGCCCCCCTGCTCCCGACTGCCTTGTGCTCGCAGAGCTGACCAGCTGCCTTCATGCTCGTCACCAGCACCCTGGAGCGATTCCCATCCCACGGACCTCTGCCTTGTCCCTCTGCTCCCCTCCACCTCTGGCCTTTGGAGGAAGATTTAATGCATCAGGCATGGCAGAGGAAGAGAAGGGGCACAGCAGCAAGCCAGCTGCCTGTGCAGCCCCACAAGCAGAGGTACTGCTGCTGAGCCCAAAAGTCAGAGAGAGACAAAAATCTATAACCTGCCCTGTACCTCTGGGCACCGCTTAAGGAGCGGGAGCAAGAGCGCTGTGCTGCTCCTGCTGGAGCATAGCACAGAGCACTGGCTGGGAGGTAAATGATTCATGTGCCCTTGCTGCACCAGAGCAGCTGCTCTGGTCCTCCAGAAGTGGCTGGTGTTGGCACAGTGGAAGGTGCAGGAAATGGGGACGGACTCTGGGCAGACCAGGGGGAAGA